AATACTTCCCACCTGGGGCGAAACGGCGGTACGGTTTTAAAATTTATAATCAATAAAAAATCTGTTCATCCAATGTTCATTGATTTCTGCATTTTAAAGTTAATGGGAAGGAACGGTAGATAAAAGAAATATAATTCCTTTTTCTCTTTTCATTGTTTCAGATGCTCGATAAAATCGGTAATGTTTACATTCTCCATCGCGGTAGCTGCAGAGCCTTTATCGCACTACGCTATTTGACAGATGTCTATGTTGTCAATTAACACACAGGACTGGCTTCGGTTTGTGAATTATTGTTGTTTTCTTACACCCTGTATAGGTACATGCGTACATTATTCATTGCATTATTTTTGTTCATTAACTGTTGCTAATACTGCAAAAAAATATTGAAAATGGATTAGACAGAGACGATCCGGATAGACTTTGAGAAAACTTGAGTGAAACATAAAAAAAATTTAAACAACATCCGTTAGTGATGGACATTTGGGTACAAAGGTTAATTATTTCAACATTAACGTAATCATCAGTATCATTAAACTATATCATTAAATAGCAAATATCACAATAATCACTGTCGCAGCTCGTTCCCGTATCCCAACAGAACACTATAGCCGTAAGATGAGGGCCCGGTCTCTCGTATTGCTTAGCTTATGAATGACTACCAAAACAGAAACGACTCATTCTGATCGATCGAATGATTGATTACCGTTGAATTATTACTCTTTTCATTAAAAAATTTAGCAATATATTGTACACAGTAATTCTAATAATAACGAATATGATAAAAAAGACAGGTTTTTATCTCTTTATTTTAACAATCAAGTACTTACTTACATGGTCATTTTCAGAGAGAGGACCCTATTGAGTTGATGTTTAAACGGCGTGAAGTGATGTTCATCCTCTATTTTTGCTAACATTTTTCAGATTTTTCTCTACTTTCAAATTCATATGAGTCCTGTAGTAATAAAGTTGAACATTTTAACCATAAACGTGACGTTGGTACTGAAAAGTATTTTATGTTTCGGATTTTTCTCGAGAATATCAAAGAAAACAGCGGCCTGTTTAGGCCGTAAAGTCATCTCCACTCTCTTCCTGGCACGTGGAAAACCGGTATCTGAGAACTTTATATTCGCTATAAAACGTTTCATTGCTTTCTAGATATCGCAGCAGGTTTTGAAGCAAAGCTGCTGTTACATTTTACGTTCAATTCATTAGTATTCTGTTTGGCGTTAGATTTTACAAACGTTAAATGAGATAAGAAGCGCATGAAGGAAAGCAGTAATATCAGCAATGTCTCATTTAACGCTCTTAAATTGTAATCTTTCTCTTGTTATCGAGCGCCATCTATAGACATTAAATGAGGATTATACAATAACGTGTCGCTAAAATTCCATTACACCATTAAGATTTTTACTGATAATAAAATCACAAAGTTTACCCAGGATAAAAAGCATTTTATTACAGATATCAAGCAACAACCAAAATGTCCCTTCATGAACTACAATAAAGATATATATATATCAGAGGCCTTGA